GAAGCATGATACACAACAATCAAATGCAAGATTCAAAGTACCGGATTAAATAAATTTAGCTTTCAAAAATAATTTGCGTCGAAAGTTTAATAACAACTTTTTTCGTCACTAACTGATTGGAATAAGACGTATACTTATTCGTTGTACGTATGGGTTTTCTGGTTCTAAAATTATAACTTCTAATTATTACTTTGCATCTAACTATCCATTGCTCAAAGTCCAAGATAATCGTTCCTACTTAACAAGAGCAATTCCAAGCAATTCGTATGATCGTCCATCGTATACAACACTCGCCAATCTTCGAATCATATTTCTTTGGCAAAAATGATCCAGCAGGTCTCCCGTAGGTTACGATTAGCATCTCGCCTGGTGATCGAACACGGGGGTGACGAGCTGTCCGCGGTGTCTGCGGGTTTCGAATCTAATTTCACCCGGGATACTCCCGCTCCCTCCTCCCCGTCGACGACACGGGGCTCCTGTTATCTTTAGTTACAGCCTAATGTGTATTTGAGATGCGAAACTGCCTCTGGGGGATGTCAGTCAGTCGGTGGAGCGAGCGTAAAGTGACGCGATGAACGCGCTATGGCGAGGAGGGGTGGCACGAGAGTGAAAGAGAGAGAGACAGAGAGAGAGAGAGAGAGAGAGGCAGGATGCTTTGTAATTACGAGGCCTGATAAATGGAGTCGTGACTCGTTAATCCCCTCCAATTACATATAATGGGGATCGCTCGAATCCCTCGTCATTTTTGCTGTTTTCAAATTTCGACCAATCGACCGACCGATGGACACAGAGCCCCGGATCGCCAATTATCCGCCAGCCATCTTGAATGCCATTTGCATTTTCCGTATAGATAAGCTTGTTTAACAACGGTTGATAACGTGTTGCGAAAACGGTGGCGAAGCACGGTATATCAGTATCTAAATGCAGTAGGCGTGCAATTTCGAAGTCAGACTTCACAAACTGTAATCACTTTGCCGAGTCCTCAGCTGTCCACTTATCTCAACAGGAAGTGCTGGTTGCGACCGCGCTCGCCTTCGAACTGCAACCCTGTTACGCGTCTCGTCATAAATCTTCCAATCCGCTGAAAAACTCCAGGAAGTCTTATCCAATACTCCAGCGTCGTTCTATTCGTTCGTTCGACATTTTTCAACAGTCGAAATCGGAGCTTTGAACCATTGTAATACAAACGTACAGAGAAATATATTGTCTCGCGGATGCGACAACTGGATGCAAATCGTCGACGTTGTGTTTTTCAAATTGTTTCATTGTCTGTCCACACTGTCCACACTGTCCACACGTTCTGGAGAGCCAGTCTCTGTGGACTGAGATTTCAACCACGCTTACGAGAGTTTATCTTCCAGAGATTTTTATATTAAGAGTGTTATTCAATTATGTAATTGTTTTGTCCCATTTATTCTCAATCATGTGTATCTGGTTTGTATTTATTCAAATTTATTTATTTTATTTCCAAAATCAACGTCACTCTGGCTTCGATAAAATCGAACGATAAATTCGATCTCAGTCCTATCACTGAGCAACACTTTCATTCGAGTGCTCCCGACTCTCAGCATTTTTCAATTTGGCTCGCGATAAAAAAAAAAAGTCAATCGTCGCTCGGACGAGCCCAGAGTCAAGGTAAGTAGGTACATCTTTCCACAAAGTCCAAGTTGCAATCGGCTTAAGTAGTGCAACGTGGACGGTTCGCTGCGAATCATTTATCAGACGGGGATCGCAGCGTCGTTGCACAACCGAAGTGTGTGGTCAGAAATCCGTTAAATCTTGGCTGCGGAGGTGATAGGTGGGGCGGGAAGGGGACAAGGCGCAAATTTCACGTTGTTTGTCGCCGTACTTTGCCAAACGAGCGATTCACTGGCCACCCACTGTATACCATGAATCGTACAGCTTGTAGATCACGGCGATTGCCAGGCGGATGCGAGACGAAATGACCGACGCGTACGGATCATTTGTCTTGGCGCAACGAATTTGGAACACGGCGTGTAGGTGGCATAACGCCGCCAGAAAATAGGGTCACGAATCGTAAGGTAGATCTGATAACCCGCCCCGGAAGGGTATTTCGCGTTCGTAGAATGTCGCTGTCTGCTACGAAGCCTCGAAGCGGTGAGAGATACCTCGGATGAGCAAGAGGAAATTGCAACGAAGACTGTTTCTTGATTTTTCATGCGACGTCGAAAGAAAATTGTCGTTTCTTCTATCAAGATTCTCCATTACTGAAAGAAAATTCTATGGAAGAGTTTTCACGGCCTTTGATAGTAACAATGAATAATACATGTAAATATTTTTTAGAACTTTACTTTTTAGTTTGTTGTAAATCTATTATATCATTCTACTTAAGATATTGCAGAAAGTTTCAGGTTTATTAGAGTTTAGATTTAAATAAATATCCTGACAGTGATGCAAGTAAAAAATTGTCAAGTAGTTTGAGGAATATGCTCTCTCTCTCTCTCTCTCTCTCTCTCTTCGTTAAAGTCTCATTTCAGAACAATCAACTGGTCAGCCTATTTACCTTAATTCACGCCCAACACAATCTATATCCGAGAGTGGCTTGTAAGGGTATTCAAGACCGGAAGACAACGTAGGTCGCTCGGTGGATAGCGGATTAGTGTATAGATCTTGCAATTAGCTGCTCTTGCGTGCTTCCTTCCTTCTCGAGAACCTTACTGGTAACCGTGTCGCTCGCTGGTTCTCTCTGCTTTTTACCCTAGTCTAGGACGACTAGTTCGAAATTAACTGCGGATCTATTGTATGTAGATCGTGTACAAATTAATCTGAATCGATTTGATAATGTTTTTCACAGACCATTGAAAATGGGAGTGATATTATTTTGCAATGTGGAACAGACAGATCCAATATTTTGAGATTAATCATTTCTTTATACATCTTAATCCTTCCACCATCTTTGAATTTTTATATTATTAATATCTGATATATCTGATATATTTTTCGGTCCAGATTAAAAATCGTTAAAAATCACATGTGACGTCATCATGTAACGACGTCGGTTATCGGTGTTGAAAGCCACGACACCGATCGTTTCTAACACCGCTGCTGGAAAAGTCGAAGTTAAACACACGACAAATAGACGCTTCGAGTATCGTCCAAATGATAAAAAAAATTCCAGCTCGTCGAGTCATTCTCAGTGTTATCGTCGTGTGGCCGCGTCATATCGCGGACAGACGATGCGATCATTCCAGAAAACATGAAACGAAAGCAGGAACGAGGCATGTCTGACTTTCGATCCTGGGTGGTAGCAGGTTATCTCGGCTGTTGGCCGGGCTGCCGGTTGCATGGGCGGAGGCAGGGTTGTGCAGGCGGCCCCTCATTCGCTTTCCGGGTGCCACCCTTCTTTTCGAGGTTGCTGCGGCATATCCCCGGTTCAAGCTGCGGCAATCACGCACGTGCTCGCGCATGCGCTACCACGGCAACATTGCACGCATGAGCGCGTAAGTATACATGTAGGAGAAGCAGCACCCGTTTGGAGAACCCCTTTCGCGCCGAGGCTATCCAACAGAATGTCCCCTCGATGCTTGAAAATCGTATCGTTGGTATAATATCCATTGTACGGTGTTGTACGTCGTGCAATGTCCTGATAATAAATCAATATCTCTGCTACGGGTAACCGAGATAGAAGTTTGGCGGTTAATGCATGGTATAAAATAAAGGGAGTGAACCAAGACATTTGTAATTGATTAATTTAAGAACGATAAGCGTTTGGTTATTTTTTTAACTTCTTTTCTTTACGCAGACGTTGGAAATCGAACTATCGTTGCACCTTTCCATCGGGAAACTAAATATCCTAAATACCACTAAATTCCTTGAATTTAAGGAGTAATATAGGAATAATATCCGACCATTATCATTTAATAATTTTCCAACTTTTTCCCTCGAAAAGTACATTACTTTTGTTGAAGCAGGTATCTACTTGTAAATTGTTCCTAGAAATTCCGGTTCGTCGTTTTGTTTTGTTCAATAAACCCATCGACGAATCTCGAATTGACGGATGTGGAGTTATAATGAACCCCTGCAGCGGTAGAAAAGCCATTTCCCGTGGTTGATGGCAATTTGGAGTACGCAGCGTGAAACGATTGCCTCGTAACAAATTGACGTTTCGTTCCCGGCGAAGATAACGAGGAATTGAATTTTTCGGCGGCATTAAGTCGTCCAATGGCTTAGGTTAGCCATCGGGCGTGCAATGTTACGCACGTTGGCCGGTTTTATCAGTATGTTTCACACACGGCATTATCTCGTTATTTCTTTCGCGTGTTTTCCACCGATCGGTGTATTCTTCCTTTTCGAAGGGAAATGATTTATTATGCGGACTTCTCCGCGCAACCGGTAAATATATGCACGCAACTTTACATACGTAATATGGATGAGATACTGTCAACACCGTCAAATAACAAGTTTACCTCGACTACGGCTAGCTATCGTTTATTTCCTGGGCGAAAATGATATATCGCGCGAAAATAATGTATCGCGCGAAAAAAAAGACCGATAAAAATGCGTCAGATAATAAATCTATAATAACTGAAATGTTCATTTTTTACGTGATAACGACAAATAACGGAGGAGACGGAACAGGAAAATGCGTGGAACTTAAGCATGCGAAATGAGGGAAACGATGAAATCGGTGTTAAAATTTTGCTAAAATTCAGTTATCCTACGCAACGCAGTAAGGAGCTGTTAGGTTGATTCATACTACGTTTATTCATTATAAATTTCACTAAATTTCATGGAATCGTACAATCTGTAAAAATATTCTGCGTCTTGGTCCTAATACTGAAAAATGGAATTTGACAATATTAAGTAATGAAAAAAAAGTACAAACGAAACGTTGCATTATGGATTAATAAAATCACTGAATTTCTAAAAAGAGGCAAGAAAATTCGCGATTACCTTCGGATGAATGTTGGGATCGAGCATAAATGTAAAGATCTTTCGATTCGTCCTTCTTCCCCTCCCTCTTAGAAAACACGACGTTATTGTAAATTACGAAACATTTATTTATTGATTCACTGTACTTCACGGTTGTATCTTGATCGATTTTTACGATCAATTATAAACATAAGCATCGAAGTGTGCCCAAATACGTTCTTATCGTACAGGCTATATACATAATCGTTAGAATGATCAAGGAATATAATGTCACACTTAATAGAACGTTCTCGTAAACTCGTGCATTTGCTTGCTTAGAGCTGGCTAATTACACTAGGATCGTTCATCGTCGTTTATTTAGAATAGAACATGACGCGTTTAATGCTTCTTAATACCTCTACAGTTCTATATTTAATCGGATAAACATCGTTTTGGTATATCGTCACAGCGACTCTGCATTTACATTAACGTTTGATTGCTATTCTCTCTCTCTCTCTCTCTCTCTCTCTCTCTCTCTCTGCCCCTCTCTCTCTTTCTCTCCCGCAATACGTTTTCTGGTTTCCGGTTCGACGCCACTTTCTACACTCATGTATTTTTCCTTCTACTTCTTCTTTTTAATCTAGATTCATCATTATTGGTCGTTCGGCATACTTTCTCGATAAAAATAGACGATCTCGCAGCGTTATTTACAACGTGCACGATGACGCGAGTTACGAACTCGATTCTCTTTTTCGGGGACTTTTCGCGAGAATTTCGCTCGACGATCTCGCTGCGCCGTGTCTGACGAGTACAGGAAAATTCCACTTCGCCCGGGACTCGTAACGACTCTCGTAACGACTCTCGTAAATTCAAATGGCGATCAAACAAATCAACAAGGCTACTAATGTAGCATTTAATACCAATTCCAATAAAAGGAGAAGATAAAAAAAGATTTTTATTGAAATGAAATTCTATGTCTATTGCTAAAGCGAAAAGGAACGCAGCTATTCGCGCGGTAGTTCTAAACAAGTATTGATTTCCTTTGATTTATCAATTTTCCGTGTCGAATGCCAGGCATCGGAACCCAAGCGTCACTATGCATATCAAACAACATCGAACGATTCGCCGTGAACAGTTTCATTATCGAATACTTAGGACACTAAGACCGCACAATTAAGTCATAACATACGAAATACGATGCACTTTAATCACATAGCGATGAGAATTTCTTTACACGACTATATACATGCGTACATTATCCATTATGATATATGTACAGTTTTACGTGTCGTGGAACGAACCAAGACTTTCTTTTCTTACGTTTCGTTTTTTCACTTCGGATCGAGGCGCGGTTACCTATCGGATCACAGATCTCGACGGAAGGAAAAGTCATCAAGTGGAACTCTGTTCGTGGACTCTAATCTTTGATTTTTTTAAAAATCGTCTGACGACACAAAAATGTGCAATCTTTAGAACGACTCTTCCCAGAATTTTGCAACGGTGCAACGATTTAACGGAAATAGAACGGAGGAAAGAATCGAACGTCGAAATGATTCGAGTTTTCGAAATCGACGAAATCAACTATCGAAGAACGTGACTCTTCGGCAACGTTGGAAACAAGAAACTTTGACTTACGACATGTCGAATGCACAAACTCGTGACGGTTGTTCGACTCGATGGTCTTCCACGACGTTTCAAACGACAAGTCATATCTTTCCACACTCTTTTATAAACTGTCTCCTGTCCATCAGGGTTCCTAAATCCTGAACCCTGTTTTCTACACCCAGTGACACTTGACAAACGTCCTCGCGATCGTCACTCAGTCTTTAAGTACGGCGTTATGGTACTTCACACTTCAAAAGACCTCGGCGCGAGACGATGATTAGCGTCCTTCTCGTTGACGACAATCCTCCACCGAGTCCCTGGTATCTCGACCAGCTAAACACTGTTGACTCCAGCGATTAAAGACAGCCAGCAACAGAAAAAACTGGTAATCGGCATCGTCAGCGCCCATTTGTTCTTCCAGTCGCTCGATCGTCCGCCGTATCATCCAGATGATGATGACTCAGCCATCCCTGGAAGGAGAGGGAGCTTCGGTCCCATCCTCTGCGTATTCAGGTCACTGTTTCGATCGGGACTGGCGCAATAGGCGAGCGATTCGCGGGGATTGCCTTGGCATCTAGACCAAGCTATTTCGGTAACCAATTCCATCCACGTATCTAAGAACACGTGAGATTCGTCGTGAAGAAGGATCATTTCCGGCTCTTCGTATCTCTTTCTTCCCGATGGGTCATTCATCAAACAACGATCAAAGGGTGACATAGCGCGAACCTCTTCCCGTTTAAGTCCTTATTCCTACGCGTTCAGTGATGTTCAACTAAATCATCGAATTAGACCAATCTCCATTCGTCTCTCCTAGAGTCTACCACTCCAGTCCAATTCCTTCGATGATTACGTGAAACGACAATTCGATCAACCATCGTTAACAGAACGAATTTGCAAATTCCTTTATGACCAAACGGCAACGAACCCCTGGCCAGCAGAGCCAACGAAGCCTGATAGTCGACTCGAACAGTCCGGCTCGCCGGACGGATGTTACAGCGCCGTGAGCCCGTAATCGGACTTGATGGCCGGTGGCGGAATGGGCGCGGAGACCTGCGACAACCCGGAGGGACTGGTAGCTGGGGCGAGAGGACTGATACTTCCGGAGCCGATGTGTCCCAACGGTCCCCCCGTCGGACCCTCCATCATGCCACTCACATGATGATGACTCAGCTGCGCTTGAAGATGGGCCAGCGGATGCGGGTGACCTTGGAAGCTCGGATGAACCACGTTCGTATGCGGAAGGGCGGCGTTCACCGCGTGCACATCCGCCATGTCCGACAGAGCGACGCTCGACTCCAGGCTAGCGTCGATCCCGCTCGACGGCGAGTTGTTGTTGTTCTTCCTTTGGCTGTTGTTGTTGCCGGTCGCCAGTTTCGATCTGGTGGCCGGCGTTTTCGCCGGTTTCGCCGACGGTGGCGCTGTTTGGCCGTTGGCATTCTTCCTGCGCACGTTCTTCGTGTTCGGCAGCTTGTTGTCCTTCTTCCACTTCATGCGCCGGTTCTGGAACCAGATCTTAATCTGCCGTTCGGACAATACTAGGGTATGAGCGATCTCGATCCGTCGCCGTCTCGTCAGGTACCTATTGTAATGGAATTCCTTCTCCAGCTCGAGGATCTGGTGCCTCGTGTACGCGGTCCTCTGTCGCTTCGGCTCCATTCCTGGCTGGTACGAGCCGTTCGCTGCAAGAACCAGAGACATCGAGTCGAGTTAGTTGACTGGCGTCTAGCGACTAGAATCTAATCGGCGTTGTTTTCAACGAGATTCAGAAATATAATGGAAGGTGTACAGAAATAACATGTCTAATTGCGAATGAATACCAGTTAGCTTTTCTTTGTTAAACCGGCGAGTTTTAACGAATATCAAGTGATCGTTTCGACCTTGTCTATCGTTACAAAATGGCAACGGGCACACACGGCGATTATTCAAGCAATTACATGCCGATGTTATCGTGTCATTTTTCTAGTTAATATGCGGCAATCGATTTTTCTTATTTACCCGCGGCACGTATGAAAACGCAAACACGGTCTAAGAATAACACGACGAGTGAATTCTTGAATAGAACCGGCCTTTTATCGTACAATTACGCGCTACCCTTGACAATACTGCTTTTTCATCCACTTTTCACCGCGTTTTCAAAATACCTATAAATCGAGAAATCTGAACAAGTAACAATCTCTCTACTTCAAAGGCCAAAAGTGAACAGTCTCAAAACAATGTTTAAACAATTTTCAAGTAATTTCTGGACTCTACATTCAGTAACCGTTAAAAGAGAAAGATCGTAACCGTTAAAAGAGAATCGATCGAAAGTGAATCGACAGCGACGTAACAAATGGAAAGCAGAGACACACCGGCCAATTAATAATGGCCATGCGTCCAGACGAACATTTTTAAACCGTATTATCCGAACGTTGAATATGTTGCAGCTTTCGAGTGAGCACACGCTTCGGCCAGTGACAAGACTCATTATTTTAAGGCTTGTACTATTGTCGATACGCTCGAGACGACGTATCACTATCGACTTGGCACACGCTCGAGTTCGTGGAACGCGCGATCACAGATCGCAACGAATAAAAAATTGTGACACGTGAATTGTGGCACTGACACCGACATCGTTGTTGTGCAGAGAGAAACAACCTTACATTTTGCAGTCAGCGGGCCAATGATTCAGGGCCATGCTGTGTGAACGTCAAGTAGCACAGACGCTTGTCGAAGTTCGAGCAATATCAAGGAAGACTGTTTCTACAGAATAGAAAGTCGAAAAAAAATGATTATCCAGTTTGATGTGCAAATATGAATTCGATGAGCCCTCTTTGGTGAAAGTTGTAAGAGTTACGTTCAAAAGAAGTCACTTGAAAAAAATGCAAGTCTGGAACTGTCGATATGTTGATTAATAACAATTATAACTGTTGATTTTGCTTGTATTTATATAGGAAATTGAAAAATGCAAAAAAGTTAAGAATGTATGAAATGTGCAAAAATATACAATATATTGAAAATACAGTGTTTGTTGTACAATGTCATTAATTGCATTTCTAAAAATATGAAATTGCGTAAAAATCCGCAATCTAACGAGGATTTAATAAGTAAGATTGAACCTATTCTTCTTTTATCTTTGCGATGTTTCACGAATAGCTCAAAACAATTAGAAAATCACTAGTATTTTTATTTAGCGCTATTATACAATGACGCGACTGTCTTACGAACTCTAACAGATTGACATGTTATTCGTATGACATACCGCGATGAAGATTGACTTTAAGACGAACGCCGAGAAAAAATGCACAGTCACAAGCAATGGGTGTAAAAACTAAAGTGACACAGAGAGTGATCCTCTGTTTCTTTCGTGCGGTACATTGGATACTGTGTGTTTCTTTTTTATACATATTAACGATACTCTAATTTTACAAAGTTTTTAATCATTCGAAGCGAGAATAATTTACTAGATATCAATACAGTTCCAATCTTCAACTCTTGAAATTCGAAATATGAATAATAGATAACAAAGACAATTGCTATCGCATGAACTACATTGATATTACATTATGCGAACTGTAAACTGTAAAAAAAAAAAAAAAAAATAGAGTCCTTTTCTACTTTATATAATAGAATTCTATTCTATACATAAACAGAATTCCACTCTACCAACATAAAACAGGTTCTGCATTGCATAATCTTTCTCATCCATTTTACACATTTATTTCATTCGTTCATTTTTCCTACCTCCACCCTTTTATTGCAGGTTCTACTGTTTTCTTATTCAGGGTTCTAACCGAGGCTTGGTATCAAAAGTGACCATCGTGGCTCGTCACTAACATCGACTGGGATCGCGACGAAGGTGACGCACGAGAAAAGATTCGTGTATCGATCCGTTGGTCGTATCACAGACGACGTCAATCGTCGTCTGGCATGCTAGAAACGTTTCTTGGTGGTCCGTACCAGGCACGATAGAGGAAGTATGGCAGCCAGGTTCAGTTTAGAATCTGTGCAGACACATTCCATTCCGAAGCTGACCGACGGTCTCGTGGAAGCCCTTCCTAACAGCAGTGTCCGGTTCGCTCGAGCTTCGAACATCCAGAGGGGAGAGATTGCAGTCTCCGACAGGCCGACGGATACGCATACCAAACTTTACTGGCACTGAACGTCGAAGCAAGGATCGTGTTATGCGCGAAAATGATGCTGCTGCGGATAAAAATGACGCATACACCGCGAGAAACGGAGGAGAAGATCCTTTTCTTGGAATGGAACGTATCGTACGTGCATCTATCGAAAGTGCCAGTATTTGGAATATATTTAATCCCGCGTTGGAAAGAAATTAAAATCGTCAGAACCGGGGATTCTTCACGCGCTAACGAAATGGAGAATTGCGAAAATAATAGGTTTCCGTTTTTAAATGATGCAAATAAAACGATACAATTCTAAATAGTTTATCGTTTTTTTTCTTCTGTTTGAGATGTGTAATTTCTGAAACACCTACACTTTCATTCAAAAGTTTCATTTTCAATATTCAGTAATGAAACTTTTAAATTGTACGCGTGTAATTGTCCATATATTAACAGTTTACAAATTCCTTATCGTATTATTTAAGAACAGAAGTAACTTTTGAAAAAAATATAGTGCTTATTCCAAAAAGTTGAGGATACACATATATTATTTTTATGGATAAAAGAAAAGAAAAGGATAAATGTAATAACTAAACTGTCGAGTTTCATGCATTTGTTAAACTTAAAGAAATTTCAGAAACACAAAAATGTACGAAAATGTATGAAGCATTTGAAGCAAAGTATATATTACAATTGTTAGTTAGGAAAAAACTGTTGTAGTTTAGTTGTATTTATAAAAATATTCCGATAGTAGTTGACAGAATAAACATTATCTTCTTGAAAGAAAATGAAGAACACGACTCTGTATATTCATCGCGAATCTGAATTTATGTATCATACTGAAATTTCAGAACATTTAAAAACAATTTCTCATTTGTTAAATTTTTATAAAAATGTAGAAAAATATTGTAAGGCCAATTAAAGATCGTGAAATTAAGAAAACTCAAAGAAACACCATTTCTAACATCGAAATAAAACTAGTACAGAATATCGAGAGAATAAAACGAAAATCAAATTTTTTAAAATTGCCTAGAACATATATATATATATATATATATATATACGAACAATTTCCAAGACTGCCACACGAATCGCTATCGAACACAGCCATGTCGCTGCCTCTAGCTAGAAACTCACAATAAAAAAGGTAGGAAGAAAACCTTTGTTATGGTGGAACGACGCGTTAAAAACTTGTTTCGCATACGGTGCGCCGCGTTTCTTTCATCGACGATATTTTTTGTTACCTGGAAATATGAATTATGATATTCGGGTTCGATAGTATCCGCGAAGAACCGGCTGAAAAGCGAAATAGTTGCAAGCTGGAATGAACAGCACTTTCCCCGGTCAAAACGGAATAGAAATTTGAGGCTGCAAAGGCAGCCCAATTCTGTGGGATATTACGTTGCAAAAATTCCCTTTTGTAGATTCATAATCCTTCTGCGAAATGCCTCCCGGGAACGTTCGTTGCGCGTTTCACTCACGCCATTCTTATCGACGCGTTTCCAATGATCACTACCCAAAGCTTGTATACTCGATAATTGTGAAATTCCACGGCATCCTGTATCGAGTCGACAGGTTTACGCACACGTGAAAGGAATATCGTTTATTTACGAAGGAAGTGAGAAGTCAAATAGAGAAATGAAAAGTCAAATAACACGATTTTCGAGTAATTACTGTAAGAATATTGTAGAGACACTCTTCGATTTATCTTTATAATTAAAGGTATTACATTGATCTGCTTGATTCGTATGACTTTGTGTTGTGTATATTCTATAAATATGCGTCTTTTTGTGAGTTTGGTTCATGAATATATACGTGTTAATAACTATATTAACGGTGAGAAGTGTATTAGAGTTTGAATTGCAGTAGAGTTGATTGAAAATAGAACCTCTCTTATATAAATCTTTATTTTTTTTTAATATCTTAATAACTGAATATTATATCATCAGAATAGTTAATAACATAATTGAATGATATATTATCAGAATAGAATGTCTGCTAGTGATTAAACCATTTGCTATTAATGGACATTCTGTTTTAGTGATATAATCAGAATATTGAAATATAAATGCTAAGATATTCAAAAGATAGAGATATATTTCGATTTGTGAATGAATTTCTTTGTAAGTGAACGATGTGAGAAAAAAGATCTATACGCGTTTTCATTATAATACAGATCATTGTAATACGAACAAGGTAACGAGAAAACGAAGAACATTGTCGAAATCTTATAATACGTTTCTATGATCGAAACACACGTATCGATTCCACCCCTAACCAATAAGATAAACTTCCATCGATTTGTCCGTTTTTGTACGTGTTTAGAGTCGTCCTTAAAGTACGCTATTTCTCAAGTTGACGTGCGGTACGAGATGAAGAATAGCGACACTAGGCGTAGCCGAATAGGTGGTAAATAGATAGGCTTCTAAAATCTCGCACAGGTGATCGGAAGGTGCAACGATAAATTGCAGCCCATCAGTCTTCCGGCTGCTCGGTAGCGCGTCACCTTGCGGCCTCGGCGTATTAGTTTCACAGGTAAATCTTGCAACATCGCTTCCGAAGTCTCGCCGTGCGCTTCTTTGTGTGTGGTAAACGCATCTCGATTATGTTTTTTATCATCAGACTGTTAAGCTAATGAGAGAAAAAAACAAACGCGCGCATTGATTTGAATTATCAGACTGAAACTGCGTAATGAACACTGAGAGCATCGAGCAACAAGAAAATTAGCTGATACCGTATTTACAGTCGAATAATAAAGTAATGCAACGGAATAGATAAAATAAAAGGGCAGATTCAACGGAAGCAAAATATAGGGCGACTGCAATGACTAGAATAAGTAGTAAAATCTAAAATTGCAGTACCATTGTGGTCCGTCGGACAATAATTGCTAAGCTTGCCTGCCAATTTCTAACAACTTTATAATTTCGAAACCTTCCATTATAGGTTTAACAAACCTCTGTGCATCTAATATCAAAATAAACATAGATTTCAACGGCTTTCAAATTGTTCAAATTAAGCTACCCTGCCACTTTCAATTGCCAATTGTACAACCCTCGTCGTCATCGAGATGTACGAATAAAAAGGGACGCTGAGAGTTTCAACTCACCGACACCAGCGACGTGAATCTTTCTCATCCACGGATAAATCACACGATCCCCGTTCTCCTCGTCCTCGTCGTCGTCCTCCATCATTCCTGGCGATCCGTCCATCGTCTGATCATCCTCCATGTCATCCTGATCGGAACCGTCGTCCACGTGATGCTGCTGCTGCGGCTGCTGTTGATTCTGCTGCTGTTGTTGCTGCGTTTGCTGCTGTTGTTGCGCGTTTTGTTGCTGAATATCCGGCGAGTTGTCGCGATGCAGCTGACCGGAACTCGCCGGACTGCAAGCGTTGCTTTCGTGCGGTTGCTGCTGTTGATTCGGTTGCTGATGATGTTGAAGACTGTCCGGCGGCTGCACGTGATTCTGCATGATGCCCGGTGACAATGGTGTAGCGCCGAGGACAGTGGATGCGGACACAGGTGGTTGCTGCTGCTGCTGCGGTTGTTGCTGGTTTTGCATCGAGGATGGACACGTGAGCGGTGGTTGTTGAGCCTCCGGCGGCATCGCCAACGCGCCCACCGCGTGATGATGAGGATGCAGGCTCGCGTGATGAACGGCGTGCACTTGATGATGAGGATGATGAGGTCCGTAGTAGCTACCGTAGCCAGCGTAACCGCCGTTTAGCTGGACGGCGCTTGATGCTCCATAAGGAGTGGAGGCCGCTTGATGATGATGCTGATGATACCCATATTGCAGTTGATGAGACTGCGGATGATTCAAGTGGTGGCCACCGCCGCTGGCGGGAAAGAAATCCGTTCCAGTGGACGGGATGTAGTTGCTCTGACTGTACTCCTCGGTGGGTGGAAATTTCGGATCCACCATGACGGAAGTCGTGGCCAAATGATGACTGCTAGCCGCCTGTTGGTGTTGGTGATGATGATATCCACCGCCGGCGGATGGATTCATCAGGAACGAGCTCATGTTTGCGTGAATTTCTCGTTTGTGATCTCGACGCGCGAGCCTGATCAGAGTCTCGTCACACGCTGGCCGATGATCAACGACAATCACAGGTACGTTTTCGGAATTCGTCGAGACCGTCCGTCAACGTTCCCGGGATTAATTTATAGAATCGCGAGGTTCCATGTTGATATTCATTGTTGGAAGCGTACGCACCGCACTGCACTGTGGCCCGTGGCCGACATCCCTCTCCGCCGGCGCGAGTAGGGTGACTTTTTCCACCGGAGGGGAAAGGGTACCGCGTCTAGACGCAGAAGGCGGAAAAGGGAGAAAGACAAGGGGGAGAGAAAACGAGCGAAAAGAGCAAGACCACGGAGAGTAGCAGACTCCCGGTGGACAGCTGCTTATCCTCTCCTCTCCTTCCGCCACTTTTGCGATCTTCCACGAAGCTCCGCGGCCTCGTTCGATCCTTCCCGCCCACCGAAGTCCAATTACCATACCACGTGACTGCGGCCCCGACCAATCAGAACTGTTCCCAGTCCGCGACCATGATGGATAGCACGGCACGCATGCAACACGTGAGTGGCGCCGCAAGAACCACTGCGGCAGGTGCACTAACTTCTTTCTTCGTGGCTCCTTCACTAGAGATGGTCATCAGCTCTTCTATGACCCTCGTTCTCTATGACATTGCGGTCCTTCGTGACTTTTTCCTCAATCGTATCCACTTTACACTATTCCGTCAACGATGATCTTTCTAGTCTTGGATCAATGTGTTTACAAACCAAACCCGATGCTTATGTAGTCCAAGCGATCGTTTCGAAAATCGTCAATTTCGCTAAAGAAAAAAAAAAAAAAAAAACAAAATCACCATAGGACACGTCCTGAAACTTCGATCGATCCTCATTCACTTCACCACCGATTTTTCAATGCGTTCGACCCGAGAGAGACACGGAGCAAGCTGTCAGAGAGCCATGAAAGTGAGCTCGTCCTGCCTCGGCAGAAACTCGTCTGGCAACTCCGGCAACTCTGTTCCCAACTCCCTCCAGATCCAACGAGACCCACTGGCTTCGAGCCGTTGCGGAGAGCCGGGACACCCCCTCTCCAACGTCGTTCCTCTTACTCTGCCTCCAGCTAACCCCACTCCGTGCAAGCACGAGACCAACCCCTGCCACGGAGAGCGTGGATCCTGTGCCCTTATGGGGCCATACTCGAGGGTACCTATGTAGAACGGTATAGTCACTCCTACGGATCTCCTTAACCCGCCTCCATCCTTCTGAAATCCATCTTACGGCGAACGTGGTCAATGCTCGGTCAAAACGACGCCGATCGACCACGCTGTCCAACGTTATTGAGATCGTGACATCGGGGGTTAAATGATATCGCGATGCTAATTGGGGTATGTCGCGAATGACGCAGCATTTACGGTATTTGGAGATTTCTGTTGGCAATAGACGCTTTAGATTGATCGAGCGAACGTTTACGTTACAAATACATTTGGTCATTCGGACATACGAAATGACCAAACCAGCCTTCAATAATTAGCCCTCATTGTAAGAGTATTAATTCTAATTAGCCGCATTATTCTTTGGTCATATGTGAATTATAGTAATTTACATTAGGTACATAATTATAACTGTAGTAATTTGTTTTACATTAGGCACATAATTATGTGCTAATTTGTCAGGTATAAAGTATATTTTACATAGACCTAATTTATATACATAATGTGATAAAATTTCCATTGTTATAAAAAGATATTCATCGTAGAAATAATTCTATTTTATTAACTGTTTCATTAATTTTAAATTTTTACTTATTTAGAATGAAATTGAACTAATTGAAACCTTTTGTTATATAATAATAACTATAATTATAATATTAATATTATATTTTATTTTAATAATAAAATATATTTTTACCATAATAAAATCAATAATATCAGCTAAGAATTAAGAAAGCGTAGTCTACTTACGAATGGATCAAGTGAAATACGACAGCGCGATGCCACAGTAGAATAGGCCATCAAGTTAATGACGTAAAGCGAATAAGTAGAAAAGTATCGTATTAGCCTGACTGGCGCGCGAAGTACCAAAAATCTTGTCGGTGTATCGATTAGAATTTGCATTGTCAATACAATGTTTTCTTACTCGTGTATTGATAGATGATTCTGATAATATTCCGTAGTGAGGAAGCTTATCAATGATCGAACCATTCATGGTCGATGATACACAGGCCGGCATGATTATTCGAACGTCGGCCGTTGCGCGCTCGGAATTGTGCGTTACGTAAGACGTTTCGACGCGGACCAAATTGAAAGTAATGGCTCCGGCGTTCTTTCACTGCGTGTTTATGTTAGTGCTCTACAAGTGTCTCGCTGCACTCGGTCAAGTACGTCTACCGGAGCGGCGATCAGCTGCGTGGAGCAAAGCGTATAAAGCGCCGAGTCATTACACAAAGAGCACACTCACTCTGTTTTGCCATGGCACGACGATACACGATGGCGAGGCTTCTTTCGACGAACCGTTTCACCGTCTTCCATTTTACTTTTCCTAGTCGAGACTGGAGGATGCTTGATATGGAGGATCCTTTTTTCAATCGAGTCACGTCTCGAGAGGTGAAATTGGAAATGGTGGATGTTTCATAAATAATTTAGGTGAGTTTAATAAATTTTTAAAGATTAACTACAGTAAAGGTTATACGGTAAATATTAAAAACATTACAGGTATAATAGAAGATAGAGTAAAATTTCAGAGATCAATCGTCCATCGAGCTACGATTCCAACAACTATCCAAGACAACTGTCCAACAAGAAACTACCAAAAATGCTCAAGATATAAGAGCAATATCGTCTAAGCTATTAGAAGAGCGATGATAAAGGCTCTACGGCAATATTTCCGAGCGACGGACTGCAGAAGAATAGCGGAACAGAAGGGGGCGGCAATTGAACGAGCCCTGAGAGCGCGTCACCTGTTTTTTCCCCTGGTTTTGCGCTTCGCTCGAGTCAAGGCTTTTTCGTTAGGCAAGATACGATGCCGCAGCTTATTTCTATTTTTCTTGCGGCCACTCCGGTGCCTCTCTAGGACGAAAGGAACGTCGCGTCGAGTGGAATCTGCGAACGAAGGGGGGAGGAGGGGGATTGAAGGGGCTTGCGGATGACGTAAAACGAGAGCAAAGAGGGTCGTGCGGACGTTGTCTTCTCGTTTTGCGGACCGAACTCTGTCTCCGCCGAGCTACGCTCTTTCCAAGCTTCCGTCTTCCTCGTTCAACCTTCGTCTCATCCCCGCGACAACGTCTTTCTGGCAGCGTTTCTTCTTTCTCGGTCATTCAGCCGCGCGTCTTCCCCCGTTCTCTGCACCGAGTCCTCGTCACTCCTCTTCTCTGCTCTTCCGGCGAAACACAATCAATCACTTTTCCCGGTGAGCCGGCATGACACCCTCCTTTTACACCCACAACCACCCCTGCACCCGTAGTTCGTCAACGACGATTCCCTCTCGTTCTCCCTCGCCCTCTCTCGCCCCTTCTGCGCGATCGTCGCGATCTCCCAGATGACGATTATCACGAGAGATCGCCCATGAGAGCGGCTCAGCGACATCCGCCACGTGTATCACGGAGGCTTCGAGTGAAACCGAAGAATTAAGGGTGTAACTTTCTCCGTGACTCTGTTGTTTCAGGCTTGAAGTGAATACGTGGATTTAGAAGAATATGTTGCTAGTGTTGGTTTCTTGAGTAGTCGGAATGATATAATCAAGGCGTATCAGTGTTTGACGTGTTAGGGATACTTGAATACATATTTGAGTTTATAGTTTTGTACTGTTGAGTCGTTCATTTAAGAAAAACTTCAAAATGCAAAAATTTGCAAGAAGCACGCAGTGTATATTAATATTAATATAAAATATCTGAAATAAGCAAGATCGTCTTATGATAAGACTCTGAAATCTAAATGAACAAAATCATATCAACGGCTCTCCAGTTTTGCTTGTTTTTGTAGCTTATATTTTAAGGCACGTTAATAAATATGAATTATCGTTAAAAATATAAGCAACTTTAATTCAAACCCGAAACGTACGTAATTATTATAAAACTAATATCTTCTGCGGTCGAAGAAATATCAATCGTACGAATTAAATAAAGAAATGTGTTTCTATGTGTAATGACATGTACATTTTTACGTTTCGTTCGTAACAACTAGAAAAAGACGGTTTTCTTGGCACTTTCCTGTGGAAACTCGTTTGGCTAGAATTGGCTGGCTAAGTTCGCAAACCGGAGGCGTCGCGTCGCTGCTACGAACCACCAAGTTCCGTCGTGATAATGATAAATGAGAACGCAGTAGTTTACGATTTAATATCAATCCACCCAGCCGGCTGCTTATTATCGGCCATTAGGAAAGTTTTAATAACGCAATACGCCGCTGCCCGGCCCGGGGGTGGAACCGTCGCGATTTATCACTTTCATCGCTTTATTACCGGCCTGTTACGCTTTTACTTGTTGATCGTTCGCGACAAGATCACGAATCACCAGGGAATTTTTACATTTTTCTTTTTTTTTTTCGCCTCTCTTTTTTGGCGTTGACTGTTGACTAAGTTACGCCCAGTCGATCGATCGTTCGTAAATAATTATCGAGCGCTGAACGAACGTGGAAACGGGACGAAAGGAACGCTTTAAATTAAAAAAAATCCCAGTAGCCATGAAACGTTTACGAAATTACGAACAAGCAGCTATTCAAGGGAAACAAGTTGTCATCGAAAATGTTTACGGTACGACGTATCGATAATTAGTACCTAGTACTTGTTCACCTATATCTTTTTATGCATTCAGTGACGCGATAATTTACAACTGCTGAGAATTTACAATGCAACGGCGCTTCATTTATAATAGCGTGTAATTACACACGGGAATCATTCGTAGATAGAAAACGTACGATCGTAGCTTCATGAATCTTGCAAATCCTGTCCCTCGTTTTATCATTTGGACTTTCAACCCTTTGTGCATTGCCAACCGTTATTCTATTTCCATGTTTAATTGATCTTCGCCATTTTGAAAAATTATCCCTGTGAAACTTCCTGCAACTCTTGCGTCAATAATCAAAACGTTCACGACCAATATATACTGACAATTTCATACTCATACTTTTCCAAAATTCTATCCTTTTTCTCGCTAAAAATTTACTTTTAACCGAAAAGTTATTTATACCATTAAATATTATAACAACTTCGGGTATTTTTGTTTAGTTTTGTAACATTAAATACCCAATAATTAACAAAATTTTACATATGATTGTAAAAATATTTAAAGATTGAAAATCTACAGAAAATTTCATGCAATCCACCAAAGAAGTAATAAATTCTAATATAAATATACAAGTAACAAGCACCTTGAGTTAATGGTGAATAGACGAGAGTCAAAATATTTTTCAAACATCATACGATATAGAAATCTTCAGAGACCGATCGATCTACGATATATAGGAAATATTTCCAAATATTTGAGCGGCCGACCAGCGAGATTCGACATGGTTTAAACGAGAATCCACGCGTGTCTGGATCCCCAAATCTACGACAGACCTCGGCTATTTTCGCATATATCCCGAGTAGAGGTGTTGGCAGCGGATCCGTCCGAAGCGAAAAGCATGTCTCCGGAGATTCTATTTCGCTGCTGAGTCACGATCCCGCGTTTGTCGACGTGAAAAGGGGGACGAGCGTGTCCTCCTTGGGGACACCCTTTGCACACTTCCAAAAGCCGTAGGTATCGGGGTCGACCTTCGTACGGATCGCTGTCATTCTTTGATCCTCCGCATTACTTCTGAAAGAAGTAGAAACTTGGACGAGGTTCGAAGACACGTCAATATGCGAGACTTGGTTGATACGTTTGCTTCGAGAAGCTTGTTTTCTTTTCTAAAAGGTCAAAATAGATAAGCGTTTGACTTGAGTATAATTTTTTGAAATCTGATCAGCAAATGTAACCCTTTCCCGCACATTCGAGTATTTGATATTTCGATTTAAAATTATTAATATTGCACTTTGGCATTGAGTACGGTGATAAATTGGCAAAAAGACTATCCAATATTACAGGTAACATATGGAAATTAGAAAGAAGAATAAATCATACGATCTAATAAAAAGTTCAAAAAATACTGAATATTCAAATATATTAAATATTCATCGTTTTCTACAGTAGCTTTCGTTTCTATTAGGTATGCACTAAGCATCACTTTTAAAACAGCTACTAAATCGCTTACACATTTCCCTGTTATAGTAAATGTATAGTAAATGTATTTAATAAAGGAATTTCTATATAATTAAATACTTTAATTATTTCAGGAGGTCATATTATATTAATTTCAATTGATGGAGAAATTGATCTATGAAAAAATGTTCAAAAAAATGAAATTAAAAAAAATAATTCAGAAATAATAAATATAATTATTCTAAATTTTAATATAAAATGTATGATATGTATAATTATTTTAATATAAAATGTATGATATGTATAAAACAACATGACAATTATTCCTCAATCTCATTTCAGAACATGCTTTGATGCTGTAAATTAACTAATAAACCTCTGATGCACAAGTACACTCGTATCAACCAATCACTTCCTTAAAAAGTGTTGATCGAGCATCTTTCATTAAGATCGAGCATCTTTCATTACAGACGACTCCAGTTTGAAATCGAATGCGACAACCAGCAAGCTCGAAATCGTTTCAGACGTACTTTATAATCGAAACGGTAGTTTCGTCCTGCACGGACGCGGTGTTCGACTGACAAACAAAAGAAAATCGCGACAATTATCGATCCACGGGGATGGTAACGACGTTAACGCGACTCGTCGTGACCCACGACCCGCGAGCAATTACCACCTGACATCGGTGCTTGAAAGCAATTTGCGTGCGGCGAGTAGGCTCTTCCGGCGACTAGCTGAAAAGAACTCGGACCCAGCGAGAAAAAGCCACGTTTATAGCGGCTTACGTCGACAGTCGGCCTCCTCGGACGAGGAAGAATGGCCGAGTGAGTCGTAAAAGTGATTCATCACCTTTCGCGGCTACGGCTCGCGTAGTCGTTAGCGACGATCCTCCTCCTCCTCCTCCTTCTCTCTCGGCCGTCGTGACATCCTTCCTCCGGCAAGCCCAGAAGCTCGTCAGCTGAGTTTCTCCGACGTGTTACACGTCTACGTAGTGGAAAGGTCCGTGCGATGGAAAGACGACGAGCGTCATGAAAAGTGTTCGATGGATGAAGATAAAGGTGGGAAGATTTAAGGGTAGAAACAAGCGTAGAAGTTACGAGGATGCTGATTAGAGTTTTATGTAGTAGTAGTTGTATCGAGATTTATGTCCAGATGATATTTGTCATCATTTTGCAGTGAGGCATGAGTCGTCGAATATAATACTATAAATTTTACATTTTGAACGTCATCAGAGGTAATTCTATTATTTATCCATTTTCTACAACGATTAAAAGCATGTATGCTGCTAAATGCATTTTGTATGTCAAATACACGGTAGATACTACAGATTCTACATGATAAGGAACTCTATTGTTATGCCTGCCAAATTTTTTTAAAACTTTTCTAAGATGAACTTCTTTAGTTTAAGAAGATCCTGAAAATTACACCATCAACTGAACCAAATTCACGATAAAGCCACTCTCTTGTCTCCAGCTGGTTTCAACTTCTGACGTGTTTCCAATTAGGTTTCGAGGAAACCCTTTGCGAAGGGAGAATTTCTGTGGACGTCCCTCGGACACTGATTACCACTCGCAGCAGTGGAAAGAAAGAGGTAACTGGGTTAAGGTCGGCCAGCATCCGTGACCTCGACAATTACCATTCGACGCCCTTCGGCACGTGAAAGACAGTTTTCATACAACGAAAATGCTGGCGCATTGTTGGTAAATGATTCTCGAACGCGACCGAGAAATGTTTTCGAGGCTAATTGAAGAGAAATACGATCCTTCTTCGTATTTCTCCTCAAGGACCTTCGACATCCTCATACCGTGTTTTATGTCTACTTGATGCACAAGTGGAATGAAGACCTTACTATTCAGACACATAATAAAGAAATTAATAGAAGACAAGTCTTAAAGTGGACATTTTCCGTGTCGTTATTGTATGCATTTTCTGACTGGACGAAAATTGGATATAGGAAAACAGAAATCTATTTCTCTATTGTGTATATCGATATAAATGTCTGACGCTTAAAGGAAACTCAGATAATGAAATTTAGAAATTGGAAATGAAAATAGTAGAAAATAGAAATGGGGATTAAAAACATCGTGGGAAACGACGTTTCGAAAAACACAACGAATAACGTTTTACCTCGCGGAATGAATCCACGATAAAAGGAGGAAACGAGGTAAAGAGGTTAACGCTGCGTTTGCGGACGCCTCGAGTGCTTCCACAGTACTTACGTTTTTATATGTACTCGAGAAAGTCTTTAATTATTCTGTCTAGAAATCATATACTGTTACGCTTCCTCGAATTATATCTCTGGGCAGAAAATATTTAATCGTTGTAAATGAAACAATTTTTTGACAGAACATTTAAATCTCGGATTTCCTCAAAATAATATATGATTATTAAAATCTACACTTGACTTGACTGTTCCTCTAAAGTTCCTTTGATAAATAATAAAGTTCAGGTTTTCTGAATAGCTCGAATTCGATGCTAACTCACAGATAAAACATCAATGGTGCTGTACTTAATTTTAGATTAAGCTACCTAGGTTAAGGTTTTAGGTTACTTAGGTGGGTTAGCTTTAATTTTCAAATGGGCGTTTAACAAATGTTACTAAAGAAATAGTCATTAAATTCTATGTAATTTTGTGTACACCTTATTGTGTGTACTGTGTGTACTAATTGTGTACCGTATCTTATTTTATATTTCTTTTATATTTTCATGTAACGAATTTTTTTAATTTCCACGAAGATCTATCGACGGCCTAGATTCACAGTATCGCGAGTGGATCATTTTCGTAGCGAGGCGATTTTGGAAAAATCGTTGTTGCTCCAGGTGGTAAGTGCAAAGGGATGTCCTGGAGGCGCGCGGGTCCGGCGAACGCGGGACAGAGAGAAAAGAGGAAGAAAAGAGCTGACGGGTACACGAGGCTGGCAAGATTAATGGATTCGCATTGTCGGCATTTTTTCAAGCGTTTTAGGACTACTTTTGAGTGCAGGAGAGCATCTCATTTTTCAAAAAGTCCGGTGCCGTCTGTAGGCCCCGATAGAAAAATTGCAATCGATTCGGCCCGCGCTAATGGTTCCGAATTAAGCGTGTCTGGTCTCTCGCGTTGCCGGCCTGGGAGTATCGTCGAATCAGCCTCTTGTAGGCCGTAAGTGTTACGTAAGAATGGGTATCGATAGTCGTCTTCGTAAATACCTCGCTGTTCAAGACACGTTGAGGAGATTCGTTTCTCATGGCGCAATGACACGCTGTGACATTTGAACGCCTCGTAGAGTTCGCTTCTTGCACATATGCGCACACAATGGAGAAGCTTCTTGCATCTTGTTCGAAGTTCAGAAACTCGTAATTAAATTAAGGGTGGATGTGTCGAAATAAACTTTTGTTTCAATGAGAACGATGTAAATTGAATTTAATAAGAAATTAATAAATATTCGATTCTCTGTGACTTTCTAATCTCATGATGTTGTCACAAAGGATGAAAAAAGTCATTTGAATAATCAAACTTGTTGTGTATCATATTATTGGTCTGTGATATGATACTTTATGTTTGTAATTATTATTAGGGCTATTCATAAGTAATGTCGTTTTCTGATACCGTAGAAAATTTTTTTTTGTACACAAGTACACTAAATGTCAATATATTTAATTAGAATTCGGATTATGTTATTAGGCAATGTTTATTAAATTTGAAAAAACGACATTATTTATGGACACTTCTAATATTTATTAACGTTGTAACAAAACGGAAGAAATACATTCACAATCAGATCATGAATTTTTATGAAATCACTTAAAGATGCAAATATAATGTAAAATATCGGAAGCGGAGTATCTTCATTTCTTTAAAAAACATAAAATTGCACGAAAATTATAAAACGTACGAATATGATTTAAGCTTTCGGCAAAATTTAAAGGAGCACCGCGAAATCAAAAGAAGCCCGACAGTTTTCACTAGCCACTAGGGACTGGAAACTCTTCTACACAAGCCTGGCAAATTTGTGGCGTTTATTAGTAATTTGAAGATTTACAACAATCAGGAGCCGCATCTGAATAGAAGTGACAAGTACAAACAACGTGAAAGAAACCAAGAAACACGACGGAGGCGGAGCAGAACCGAGTTGGCGCCTTGGGACCTTCGATGCTCCTCCTGAGCAAAGATAAAAGTTGCGATGAGCCGTAACCGATGAACGCACAATAACCCTCCGTAAGCAGTACCGCTATCTTTCATTCGGTCTTTCGTGGTCACGGGTAGATGCGCGATCTTTATCTGCCACGGAGACCAACGCGCTCGAGCGCACGGAAGCCTACGTCACGCGAATATAATTTTAGCCGGATATCACAGTCGCACGATCCAGTAAAACTTTTGATTTCCTGTTTTTTTGACAATTTCTTGCGTAGAAAACGATTTTCACGAAGGGTTGACAGCTCGAAAGATATTCATCTGTCTTCCACGTTCAACTCATTGGTATTCATTCATTTTATCGCTGTTGTATACGTAGCTATGAATTTAAGATGTTGTTTGATTCCGTGCAACAGAATAATATTTATAATTTTGAGGAGTTTTTATTCAACGTTGCAAACGTGGTCAAGGATCGTATAAAATCTTCGGTCAACTGGATAGAAAAAAATGCTCAAGCTTCTCCCCGGCATGTCTTTCTATATTTTTCAAAGAGAAAGTGAAAAAACATAGATGAATAACTACTAAATTTTGCTTTTATGACTAACTATTTGCAGCTCACTTTTAAGTGGATTATTATTGACTCAGTAGCAGCACTGAGCCAATATTTTTGGGCCGGATTGGTCATCCAACGATGTTATTTTCTTTTTATGTTCTCTAAGGAGTAATTTCTGCGCTTTTATGATGATGATAAGATGATAAAATCTTCCAATTACACGTGCATTTCATAACATAATTATTATTAAGTTTAAGTATCATCATAACTAAATATCATTCGTTAATTTTATCAAGTTATGAAAACGTGACAAAGAATAAAGTTAGAAATTAATTAGTTATGTTATTGAAAAAAAAACGATAACTTTAATAATTAAAATTCTAGAAATTAATTAATTTCTACACTGACAATGTTCATTTATACGGCTGAAAGTGTGTATTTCATCTTCCTCATACAATTTTTATCCGACGTTCTACGTCTTCAATGCGCGAATCTAGAAGAAACGATAGCAATTTCAATTAAACACAATTTTCCTTCGAATGTAGGAAAACACTGGCTGAGATCTATGCGCCGAGAAAGTTAATAGATGAATCAAGAAGTTCGAAACTTACTTCCAGGTATGGAAATTGCCATCTCCGGAAAACATGGAAATTTCTTTAACCCATTTTACTCTTTCACTGCGAAGGGTTTGCTATCCATGCTCATGCAAATACTTTCCTCTGAAATTCGATTCGCATGGCAATAAATCAAAGGTTGCAACTCTTTACTTTCGTCAAAGCAAACTAAGACCCTAACTCTTCACTACTGTCCAGGCTACCGATCACGTCACAATGAAATCCCGTTCCGGTTGTTATTCACAAGTTATAATTCTTCAAAGCATTCTCGAAGAAAGTTTCATTGTTAAAATATTTACTTTCATTTCCTTCTTCGTCTCTCGGTTTCTTAACTTTTAAACTCTGTCTGCTTTCCAACTCTCATACGAACAAGCTATCTTCCAATTACATTCAAAAAGTTTAAGTAACGCGAAATTTTGAATATATAATTTAAAATCAAAGGATAAATTAGTTGACCTAGTTAAATTAAATTAACTTGGTTAAAAAATTAAATTAACAATAGATCGTTATATAAATAAATAATAAGTTTTAGTAGTGCATTTTCATGGTAACTCGTATCTTTGAAAAGAGAACTCAAATAAATATTTTTTTGAACCTCTGTATTTTATACTTTACTTTGAATATTTTCTATAAATGCATAAACATTTATAATTGAAAGATTAAGAGTTTTTGATGGAAAAAGAAAGGAAACGAAGCAAAAGGAAAAGACGGAAAGTTTCTGCAATTTCCAGAATGGATCGTTTCCAGGATCGACAGCGAACGAGGACGACCACGATGATCCATCCACTCTTCCTACGAAGCTGGACGGGACTCTTTAAAGTTTCCTCGAGAAAGTTTGATGAGTCTATCGAACGCTATTATTCCGTACCCCCTTCCTAGCGCCCTTCTTCCGCGTTCTTTAATCATTCAAAGCGAATCAATCACCCATCCAGAGAAGCTCAGCAACGCTTGAATCACCCTCCGTCCTTCGTAGAACTTGGTCGTCCCGAGTCCTCTCTTGAACGACGTTATCAAACGAAGCTATTTCCGTCGGCTCCGCGAATACCTCGAAAGATAAAGAAAACTAGAAAACGACATATCTCTTTTAACTGTTGTTCGTTTTCACAAAATTCAGACGATACTGATTATTTTTGAATTTTTACATCTGAAGATTACGAAGGGAAAAGAAATTTCCTATCTTGAAATCGTCGTTTTTTTTTTTTTATTTGCTTTCGTAGTTAATTATAAATTTTCTAAAATTTTCCAAAATTAAGTTGAATATAAATTTTCTGAAGTTAAATACAAAGTTTCTAAAATTTATTTTCTTCAAATTTCTAAAATTAATCGTCGTTTAAAATATCGAAAGGATTGTTCGTTGTAATGTTATAATGTTCTTTTTATATCATAATTTCAAATTACTGCCAAGTATCTTCATTTTATAGACAGTATTGAAAAATTATTAATTATTAAAAATAATTATCAACTTTTTATCCCTTTCTTTATCTCTCTTGTCACAAGAAATTTTCTACGTGACGCAAGGCTACGCGTGTTATATTAATATTAAATCCATCCCTGTATTTAATCAGAGAACTGGTTTCAATTAAGCCACTAAGCCTCGTTGCAAATTCTATTCGAGCGGATAACGGTGCGCAAGAGGCTCGTATAAATGCGCATTTTATTAAAGGGACCACGTGGATAAGGGTCTCGCGGAGCCTTCAACCCCGGTTTCGACCCCTTCGACAACTCAGCTTCACGAGCCCCATGCTCGCGAGCCTTGTCTATCTGTCTCGCTCTCTTCCTGTTTTACGAAACTTCTCTCTTCGCCTCTCTGTCTTTCAGTCGATTCTGTGCGAGGAGAACCAATCAGCGATCTCTCGAAGCCCTCTTGCACCCTGCAACCCGCAGCCACGCCTGCCAATATAGGGTAGATACCCTCGTCAGATCGACCCTTATCCTTTTTACCCGCCTTCCTTCCTTCTTCTCTCTCTCTCTCCCGTCGTTGTTGCTGGACCCGATTCATTCCGCAAAATGGATCCTTCCTCTGTTCTTTCCACTGATCTCCTTCGATGCATTCCTCGCTCACGGAATTATTTCGGATTTCTCTTCGAGAAAAATTAATCGAGAATATCTTTTATTCATGATTTCATCCATTAAATATTTTACTTAATTTCGCGACAATTTTCACTTTTCATAATAATTTTCTAGTTCGAATCGGTAGGAATTAAAATCTGCTATTTACGATTTATTGAAATTTGCCGAAATTTAAAAAATTCTTGAAGACTTGTCTTCGTGAAATTAATCGATGCTTCTCTTAATTTGAAATAACACTGCCTTTAGTATTTAGTGCCTCAACTCGGCGGATAGTTTTGTGCAATTAATCGCGAATATAAATGAATTACACTCGTGTAGGAACTTCGTGAAATGAATTTTTGAATTATTTTGTAGCCATTTCGCGAATACATCGGACACACGAGGGAAACATACAATTTATCACCGATGCAACTACAGTTACGAGTTACTGAATATTCGAACATGCCCTGAGAACATACCGTTATGATTAATATCAAACATCGCCGTGTTGCGACGTTCCCTGAGATCGAGTCTAAGCTATAATTTTCCTGATGACCTCGTGTCCTTCCACACGTACGATCCTTTTCTAAAAGTCATTGTGGGAAATTGGTCTCGGATCTAGGTCCAATATCACGTTCGAAGTTCAATCAACCACTGAATTGCAATTTCGCGTAAACATAGCTTAAATATCATTTCTTAAACCATATTACGAGTACACTTGTACTTTCTTATGGAAATTACGTAATCATTCGATAAACTCTAAATTTCGCCCAGCTCCTTAATCAAAACACGATTTGAAATAATAAGTACACCTACATGTCTACGTGTCCGTTTAGAATCGAATTTTCATTCGACACAATCGTGAATAAAGCCTCAAGATTGAATTGAAACAGAGTTGTCAGTTAAATAATTATTATTTGAGCGAATTAAGCTTTAGTGTACTTACTAAAATTCAATGAATAATCAAGCTTATTCTTATTGTTATAAGATTCTTACACTCGTGTCTCGTTCAAAGATAAAACGCGTGCACAGTGAGCTGTTCCCTTGCCTAAATCTTATCGATGCTTTACGAAACCTCGAAAGCACGAATTCGAGACGGATTTTCGAAGAGAT